GTGTGTGTGTGTGTGTGTGTGTGGTGGGCTTTCTGGAACAGAGGTGTGAGAAAGGGAACATTTGGTTTAAACTTTATGAAGTGGAGTGCAGTAGTCAAATGTGCAGCATCAAACGGCAGCGACGGTAATCAGAGCGGCTGACTGGGAGGTAGCAGGCAGACCAGACATCAGCGTTCTGGTTGGGTTTCGCTTCTCGAAAGTGAACAAAACGCTGCGTTCCACTCTGATACGAGCATTCGTGGTGCGTTCAGACTTCCAGAATCGTCTGAGCCTGCAAACAGACAAAGAAAATGGAGAGAAAATATTCCAAAATCCATAAAACGAAATAGAAAATCTATCTAATTTATTGTATGAACAGAAAACTGTCCATTTCAGAATAGGTGTCACTTTACATCCTCAAATTTTACTTTTAAATGTATTTATTTTTGTTTTGATAATGATACCCTGTGAATTAAAAAAAAAAAAGAACCAAGAAATAATCTGTTTAGTGATCAGCTTTTTAACACATTAGTGAGTTAACAGAGAACAAATGGTCGATGTCAGAATCTGTAATTTCAGTTGATGCCACTGTTTGCTCGCTCCATCTTCTTTAACGTAAAGACACTGTACTGGTCTCTGTTCTGTCACTTAGCAAAGTAAATATCTTTGGGTTTTGAACTATTATTTGGATAATTCAGGACATTTGAGGATGTCACCTTGGGCTCAGGAATACTGTGATGAGCGTGTTTCATTGCCAGAAAACATACTAAAAGGTTAATCGATAATAACTATTTCCACGACAACATTTGCCCATTCTAACGTCTCAAAAGTGAGGTTTGGCGCTTCATGAATTATGAAGTGGTTTAAGAAGGAAATTGAGAATTTATTTGATCAAAAAATAATGACGAGGTTCGTCAGTGACTAAAATGATAATTAAAAACAGTTTGGATTAAAACGCATCATAAATGGAAGTCAGCGCTGACTTCACTGTTAATCAACGGGACAAATAGGAAAGAAAAGTGTTGATGTGTGACTCAGACACTCAGTTTAGGGTTTAAAGGGGCCTCAAAAACTCTGTGTGTTAATGCCAAAATAAAAAGAACATCTAAACTTTGAGCAAACAAGAAACAAGCTTCTTCTCGGCCACATCCTGGGGAGCAGCATCACTCCCTGAGCCTATTATAGGACGGTTTAGAGAGCACACAGAGTGATTGATGGGTGGAGGAGACTGTCTGTTAGAGCATTCATTCATGCTGAGAACATAACGTTTAAAAGAAAAAATCCCTTTTGATAACAGCTTCAGTAACTACAACACCAGCGAGGCCAAACAGAGCTTTGCTCATCCTCCTCTGTCACCGCACTCAGACACAAACACACACATTGCTTCCTCTGGCTTCATGTGGGTGAACCCTGTGTTTTTGGCTCTTTCTCTCTCTCTCTCAGTGTGTGTGTGGCTGGTGTGTAGCCACTAGAATGTGAGTCACCAGTTTTCTATTTACACCTCGCTTTCTGCTGCGTCTTTGGGTTTTCCACTACTTTCCCTTGTATGGTGTAATAGTGTAATTATAGCTCTTTTGTGTGCCTCTCTGTGTGTGTGTATATATATGTTAGTATGTTGTCATATTCCCAAATTCTTCCTTGATGTAAACTCCTAAAAATAAGAAAAAAAGTCCAGCCTCGCCTGCGGAGCTGGATCTTTCTGCACATACGTAGCAGATCAGATTAGACTGCGGCTCTTAGACACTCACAGGTCTGTGGTGCTGATGAGCGGATGGCGAGCGGTTCGAGCCAGGGCTGAGGGCCAGTGCGAGGCTGAATGAGCTGCCTGTGCATTCATGTTTATGTGTGTGTGTGTGTGTGTGTGTATTTGTGCGGCCCAGCTGCTCTGCGGTAGGTAACTCTAATCAGCCCAAAGGTCGGTCAGCCAACCAGTCACGCTCTGAAAAAGACCAGAGACAACGGTCAGGTCAGGTTGCTCACAGACAGACAGACGAGGAGATAAAAGCAGGTAGACGGACTCGGTCAAGCACGGAGACAAGCAGAAGGATGGACAGACGGGAGAGCAGGCAGGTAGACGCAGAGGCAGGTGTGATAGACAGACATGAAGACAGACAAGGTGGCAAACTGATCCACGGGCTGCAGAAGTGGACTGATATGCAGGCAGACAGGCGAGCAGAGAGACAGGTGTAGGAGTGAGTGACGGCGGGAGACAAAGGCTGGTCTGATTCACCTCGGAGATAAAGCCTCGGCAGCTTTGTGACTGCCCTGTCATTTGATCGGTAGAACCGGGGATAGATGGTGATAAAGTTGTGGCGGTGTAGGAGTTACTCTCACCTGAAACCAGGACAAGAAATTCCGAGACAGTAAATCACAGCTGTAATGGGAAGGCATTGAGCGGCGTGGCTTTGTTACTCTAGCTGCAGACAGACACAGAGGCTCTTTTACCACATCAAACCTGTGATGGCATATTATTTATGATACCGAAGCCCTTTCTTCAGCTTTATTCTTCCTTAGCAGGATCAGAGTGGTACTTTAAGGAAAGGCCTATATTTAAAGGTATCTTTTGGCCTTTTTATTAGATAGGACAGACGGACAGGAAAGTGGGGGAAGGACCTGCAGCAAAGGGTCATAAGCGGGATTTGAACCCATGACCGCTGCCTCAGGGACAATAGCCCCTATACATGGGACGCCAGCTCAACCAGGTGAGCTATAGCGGCGCCCAGGAAAGGCCTCTTTGGTTTCTTCCCACGAGTTAGATAGGATCATGCAAGGATCCTCACCTTAAATATGAAGGTTACCCAGCAGCTGGCTCACTGAAGAGCAACCTGCTCACTAGTTTATACTTTAACGTAGGGGTGGGTGATGTGGCAAAAATATCACATCACGATTTTTTAAATTCTAAAATCATTATTTCGATTTTATCACAATCTTACATGTATTTTTGAGACTAATTTGCAAGTTTCTGGTCAGTGCAACCGAATGTTTCTGTATGTAAAGGGATCGAGCAAGTTCATCGTGTTGCCATCCGACATGCGAACCGTCTCTGTGCAAACTTTGCAAATTACTTTTGTTTATGCTTTATCATTTCAGATCAAATCAAATCCAGTTTATTGTCACTTTGCTGTACAGACACAGTAGAACAGGCAGGATGAGAGAGCGTTTCTTCAGGATCATTTAATTAGTCAGTTTTGCAGAATGCACGTCCGGGACACTAGACACTAAGACACTAGACGTTCACTCTTGCTGTCTCCTGAAGGGGGCGCTGCGTCTATGCGCGCCGCCATTTGTTGAACATGGGACACAAAGACACACACGATGATGTGACGATGGTGAAGCTGCAGATGCTGCCCAGAGCTGCTGTCTGTCTGTCTGCATCCCCTCCAGCTGTCTGTCCGTCTGGGATGCTGTCATGGAGCCATGTTCCTGTTAAAGCAGACACACAGCAGTCCCTCCACTCTCTGAGGGTTTATCTCAGCAAACGCAGCTCGTCTAGCTTGTTGTGGAGGGAGCGGACATTGGAGA